AGAAGAAACGATCCTAAAAAAGTTCTATCAACAAAGCCATCCGTCCATTAATTCAATGAAAAAGCTTAACTTTGTCGATGGCAGACGATGAGATGAAAAAATACGAAGCAGAATGAAAAAGAGGCAACGAAAAGTTGCACAATTTTAAAAAGCCATCAAATTTGCGTATGACTCTAGAAAAGGGTGTCTTTTAGAATGCGGAAATGTAAAGGTTACGGTAGCTTTTGAACGTTTTCTTTCAAAACTTGATAACTCCGCGCTGAGTTATCCGATTTTTATCTTTTTTTACTAAAATGTTCATCGCGACAAGCTTGACCCAAAACCGTTTTTGATTTGTTCAGATATATTCATTTTAGAGCCTTGGAAAGAAAACTTAACATAGAAAATTTGACAAAAACGCACTTTGCTCAAAATTGAGCCAGAAAAAATTTCAAATAACTACGATTTTTGAATTCTCCATAATTTTTTGCATCTAGTACGCATTTTTACAGAATTTTTTGTTAGAAAACACTTTTTTTTGCCTTATTTCGCGCCGATGTGAGGTGTATAAAAGCGCTTAAAAGGGTTTGAAAGAATATTTGCAAGAAATGCCGAGTGTTTCCGTTGCCTCAGAGTGGTGGTGAGGGACTAGTTGTGAGGGTTTTACAAAGTCCTTTTTTTCTCAGTCCCCAGATTTTTCTCAATGATGTTTTTGGTACCAAAAAATACTAGATTAGAAGGGCTATCGTTTGATATCCAAGAGCTATCATTTCACTACACATTATAGCATAAAGCAGCGCGAAGAACGGATCGTGTAAAGTTAGACTACGCGGGAATACCCTTTTATTATGGGGAGGGGGGTACTTAATAATTACGAATTACGGTAGTTCAAATGCTCACCATTACCAGGCTTGCTCGAAAGGTTGTTTATGCGGGCCTAAGCTGATATTAAGCCAGGTGAATTCAGGATCAAGCAAGAACCAGGCCAGATGCTTGAACCAGATGCTTGAGCTGGCTTTGCTACCAAGTTTGGAACTGGTTTCTGGCCGTTAGTTCACTATGCGCTTACGGTGAGCAAATTCAAAAGCAAAAGTGAGCAAATTCGAAAGTATACAAGCTACAAAGGTGGTTAATAGCTGTTTGAAATTTGATAAACAGAAGTGAACAAATTCGGCTTGGCTTATAGGCTTACTGGGTTTGGCTTGCTGGATCCGTTGTCGGCCTGGATTTCTGGCTTGGCTTCTTTTTGGCTGGCTGGTTTGGCGTACAGATTTTAGGTCACAGGATAACAGTTCTGACCAGAACTGCTTTACAGACATGATTAGAACATCATGGAACATCATCATTGGATCATCAGACCAAAACCGTACTCCCATTCTGATAAAAACTCGACTACATCAAGAAACCAATGCGTTTTTGATATTTTAATTTGTAATATTTTAATTTGTAATGTTTGTCATTGTCTTCAGGATTTCAAACTGAATACAACAATTGTAATCTTTAATCTTATTGTTATTGTAATCTTTTTTCAACTTTAAAATTCCTTTTCAGGCTGGTAGTGTTGTGGAAATGATACCCTCGGGCAACAAACACTCGATGACAATTAAAATCCCCATCGTCCCTCTCAAAAACCCGGCCGCTCTTTCAATCGGAAATCCACAAAGGTAAAGAATTGTGAATTGAGAGAAAATTTGAAAATTATCATTTTGGGCGGACCTAAAGTAGTCGCATTGGACGCATCGTTCATTTTGGACTCATTCACTTCTCGAGCATTTTGTCTCGATCTACCGTCCCCAAAATGGTCAACAACTTCATCAGCGTCAACAATACTTTTGTTGAAGATCCTTATTTCCATCCGTATCAACAATATGCATCTTGTTCAAAGAGAAATGGATCAGGTAGCTTTTGTTATTTAAAAGTTTTATTTGAAAACAGTTTATTGATTGATTGATTGATTGATTTTATTCAAGTTAGCCTTATTACTTATCTAGTTAACCACTATGTTAGCCAGTTAGATTACTTACAAGTTAGATCGTTAGCCAGTTAGATTACTTGCAAGTTAGATTATTAGCCAGTTAGATTACTTGCAAGTTAGATCGTTAGCCAGTTAGATGTTAGATGCTAGCCAGTTAGATCACCAGTTGTTAGATCACTTCCAAATCCTTTGCATTCAAATTTCGGCTTGTTTTCAAATTCAGTCCCTAATCGTAAAGTGAGCAAATCTAAACTCACTTTGACAGATAATTCAAAAAAAAACGTGAGTCAAGTTTTTGCTGAGCGATTTGCCCTGGGAATGAGTTGTTTTGCCTAAATGAGCTCTTGGCCTGAGGGCATCGGTGAGTGATAAGAGATTTGTTGACTTATTGGAGCGGAGTGCCTCCTTCTCTCCCCAACAAACACCCTTCTACAACTCTTCCCGACCCAAGCGCATGATGCGAGGGTCGCCCCAACAAAAAGCACACCGGTAATTGATAAGGAGTACGGTAATCTTTGAGGTTTCACTTTATATAGGGCAAACGATTTTCCCTTTATAAGTCTTCCGGTCATTTCAAGTTTTTTCGCGACAATGTGGAGCCAGTTTGACAATAAGCTTTCAAACTTGTCTTAGTCATCGGCTAGGGCTTAAAAACTAGAGTCATCGGCTTTTAGAACCTCAAAACTACTGTAAATCTTCTAACGGAAGCGTTAGGAGCGTCGCGTAGTCTAATAAAGAAGTGAAGAAATGGGCGAGAAAAAGTCGATTTTTCGAGAGGGATTTACACTCAAAAAATCGCTCAAATCTCGGCGTCCAAGCATTTTTTTCTCAGTGCTTAGGTATTAAATTAAAGTAGAGAAAATGGGTGATTTTTTGAGATATAAAACATATTTTTAGCATTAACCAGTGCTTAGAAAAAATGATTGAAAAATGATAAAAAACTGACTTTTTTTTGGCACTTTTCAATCATTGTTTTCTAAGCACTGGTTAATGTTAAAAATATGTTTTATATCTCAAAAAATCACCCATTTTCTCTACTTTAATTTGTTATCTAAGCACACAAAAAGAAACCTACTGGTGTCGAGATATGAGCGTTTGTTTGAGAGTAAACTTAGACTAGGCGAGGCGAGGCGCTATTTAAAAGTTTCATTCTATTAGAGTATTTGCGGTAGTTCAAATCACTCCAAATGTGAATTGAATGAATGAATTTGTTAGCTTAAAGTTGGAGTTGAAGTAAAAGCAAGTCAAAACAAATTGCTAGTGTACAATCAGCTCTGAAACCTTTGTTGGCAGTGAATTCGATTTCAGAGTGAATTCGATTTCCAATGAATTTATTCCAATGAATTCGATTCCGCCAGTTATTAGCCGCCAGTTATTAGCCAATTAAAACAAGTCCAGTTCAAATTTTGGCTAATATTTGCTTGAGACAAGCTCTTCTTTATCGGCCATGAGCTAAATGAATGTCTCAAAAATATTAGTCAGCGATAGTCATGTGCTGAAAAATCTCATTGTTAGCTTACTGAGTTGAGAGCTGTACATTGTACAATTTCTATACTGTAGAAATTGTACAGTTCATTGTACAACGAGTTCATTGTACAATTTCTATACTGTAGAAATTGTACAGTTCATTGTACAACGAGTTCATTGTACAATTTCCATACTGTAGAAATTGTACAGTTCATTGTACAATTTCTGATTAATGCAATTAATAAAAGCTCAATTGAGAAAGTTAATCGGTCAAGCCAATAGTGATGTACTTGAACTTGAACTTGAAATTTCAGACTTCCCAAGATAAATATGAGGCGCCGAGGGGCTTCTAGTTTGTACCGTGCCCCCCTTTATGACTCCTCCCCTCCCCATCACCAATGCCAAAACATTCAATCCTCAATCCGCCTACTATCTTATCTCCTGTTAACTATTTCCATTTCCTTTTTTTCCTCAAAATTTGACTTATTTTTTTTTATCGTTTTCGAAATCATTTTTATCACGCTTATCACAATCTCGTTCACTTTCGAGGTCAGATTTATTTTTGCTGACCTCGAAAGTGATTCAGTGACCCTAGTCAACTCATGAATCCTTTTTCAATGCTTTACAAATCAGCTAATCAATTATTGAGAACTGCAAAACGATTGTAAGTACTTTTTCTTGTGGCTTGTCAACTTGAAAGCTTACTGCTGTGAACAGCTTACTGCTGTGAACAAGCTTACAGCTGTGAACAAGCTTACTGCTGTGAACAGCTTACAGCTTACTGCTTGAAAGCTACTGCTATTGACGAGCGTTTACAACGAGTTCATTTTCAACGAACCGGAATGTCACGATAGTCAGAGTGTCTCACTAATCAAGTTCAAGCCTTTATTGGGTTGTGTTATGAAGGTTCTATTGATCAGTTTCTTGCAGTTTCTACATCAAAATGAATCTATCAGAAAAGCTTCTCACTAGATTTCTTTTTCAACTTTAACTTTTTCAACTTCAACTTTCAACTTTCAACTTTACGCTCAAGTAAACACCTTTTCTGGCACACTGAATTCTTCGTTTCTTTCAGTAACAATTTGTTATCCAGAGAAATAAGAAACGTGCGCCAGAAAGGGAATTTGGTAACCGAAAGAAATGGAGGAAGTTTGAAAGTGGGAAGTTTGAAGGGTAGTTTGAAGGGAAGTTTGAAGGGAAGCTTGAAGGGAAGTTTGAAGGGAAGTTTGAAGGGAAGCTTGAAGGGAAGTTTGAAGCGCAAAGTAGGCTCAACCTTTTAAACTCTGGTATGTTTTTGGGCAGATCCTCCGTAATCCTCTAGCCCAATCCACAACAAGCTAACGAATCCTCAACCAATAGCAAAATCGAGAAATTTCAACGATAAACCAAAGTCAAGATTCCAAATCTGATCACTAAGCTCAAATGAGAAAATTTCAGCATGAAAACATGTCAAATTCTGGATTGTTTTTCTCACTTTCCAATGAAATCGGCCAATCACTTTTTTCCGCAATCTGCTTACGATTAAAACCATTGAGTCAAAACAAAAGCATTTCCAAATCTTCCAGGACTGAAGAAAAACATGACAACGGTGAATGTGTACAATGTGGAACAGCTGAACATTCATCAACATTATCCACAACAAGCGGGAGAAGGTGGAAGTGGAGGAGAAGAGCAAGATGAATGGGGTGAGTGAAGAGTTTTTGAAAACTACAATCAACCGCTTTTCTAGTTTCACTTTTCCTAGGTTAAACCAAGCTAAAGTCAAGGTAAAGAACTTTGAATTGAAATTAGCTTTTCTGGGCACGACTTTTGGATTTATAACAACCACCGGAAAACAGCGGTTACTGGAACAAATAGACTATTTCGTTGTCTGTAGCGCAAGAGCTCTAGCTTACAAGTTCCGGCAACATTTTCCACATCTACCGTATTTATTTTAATAGAAGGTTTTCTATTTTTGCTTCTATTAGAGGCTCTTTTTTTCAATGAATTGATTGATTAAATAAAAATTGATTGAAAAAAATTGATTAAGTTGATTAAGTAGTTCGTATTGTTTTGGCTCTGCCGCCCTTTACTAAAATAGCTGTAAAAACTTTTAGAAAAGAGATATCTCAAAACGGTTTTTACTAATCGATTCGTCTTGAATTCAGCTTTAGAATGAGCTATAAAACGTCAAAATTCGACAAATTTAAGGTACTCTCCCAAAAAATCGGAAAGAACTTTCCCATCAACCCTATAGAAAGAAAACCTGTAGATAACAACTTTAGATAACAACAGCAATTAAAAACAATTCAATTTTCAATTAAAAACAATTCAATCATCCAAAAAAGCATTATTCTCGATTTCATTGTTGTTAGAGTCGCCGAATTTCAATCGAGATGTCATGATTGTAGTGAATGCAAGAAAATGCAAGATTAATGAACTCTAGCAATCATTTTTAAGCAGTTCATTGAATCTAAGAAGTGTAAGAACCTAAGAAAGTAAAGAAAGTGAAGTAAAGTAGAGTCAAGCTATAGAAAGTAAAGTAAAGTAAAGTTCTTAGAAAGTAAAGGAAGTAAAGTAAAGTTCTAAAAGAGAAAAAGAAAAAGAAGTTAAAAAAGAGAAAGTTCTTAGAAAGTAAAGGAAGTAAAGCAAAGTTCTAAAAGAGTCAAGAAAGTAAAGTAAAGTAAAGTAAAGTTCTTAGAAAGTAAAGGAAGTAAAGCAAAGTTCTTAGAAAGTAAAGGAAGTAAAGTAAAGTTCTTAGAAAGTAAAGGAAGTAAAGTAAAGTTCTTAGAAAGTAAAGGAAGTAAAGCAAAGTTCTAAAAGAGTCAAGAAAGTAAAGTAAAGTTATAGAAAGTAAAGGAAGTAAAGTAAAGTAAAGTTCCTAGAAAGTAAAGTTCTTAGAAAGTAAAGTAAAGTCCATCATTACTGATTCAGTAACAATAAACTTTATCAATGATTTTAAGCAGTTTATGCAAGAATCTAAGAAATAACTAAAAATAAGCAAGAAAGATTCTTTTCTAAAGAATTGGATACTAAAATATTCGTTAAAATGTTTAAAGTTCTGTCAATTTTCTGGCATAAATTATCTTAAGTTGAAAATTCTCTTTTTAAACACTTAGCCTAATTTATAAATTTGATTCAAATAAGCATAATTTCAAATAAGCATAAGAAAACCATCAAAATTGCCACCGCTTCTGCAAAACAAATGATAATAAATGTAATTTTTCAAGAGAAGCATAAGATTAGATCACTTAAACTGGATAATAAATGACTTATATTAGGTTGATGCAAAAGTCTTTTTCATTTTTTTCGTACTTCCGTTAAAAAGTAACAAATGCACCAATTGAACAACGGTTTATTGCATTCGAAAGGCCAATTATTTTTCTGCAAAATGACATTAAAACGAGTTTAAAATGTCTTATGTCTAGATTTTTTTGAGAGCCTGAAGTCGGGTAGTCAAAAAAGGCGACGGCTCGATGATGCATTTTAGACGCTTTAGCTAAGGAAACCAATCTTGATGTTAATAAATAAAAAGATAGAGCACAAAAAGTTAGATATTTTTTCAGATTTTCAGAGAAATTGATTCAGCCAATTTCTTTATAGAGGTTTTTATAGATTTTTATGAAAAACCCGTTTTCACTCTCGAATTTGCTTGAAAGTGAACCCAAATTGACTTAAAAAGATGGAAAAATGAGCAATAAACACTTTTCATTTAGAGCAAACCATAGGTTAATTGATGACTTTGTTATTTTTCAAAAGAAGTACGAAAAAAATGAAAAAGACTTTTGCATCAACCTAATATATCTTTAAATGCTTAAAAATCAGAGTATTCAGTCTACTAAGCTGAATATCCATAGTTGTTGCTTCTATTAGAGGCTTGGCTTCTATTTTTCAATCATTCCAGAAAATTGCTTCAAATGGAGGCTTCTATTAGAGGCTTCTATTGGAGGCTTGTCTTAGAATCAATACGTTATTAATTATCCAGTTTAAGTGATCTAATCTTATGCTTTATATGGTTGATATCAGACTAAAATAAGCAGCTTTTGAATGGAATCTTGTCAAAAAACAAAGCCCTGTATTTTTCTTGTAAATGCGTTTCCTAAAAGATGGATAATTTGGAAAGCTCTGTGATCTTTCGCAGGGATTTTATCTGTTCTATTTAATATTTTAATTTTCATCCAATCTTTTTCCCATTTGGCCTGTTCTCTATTCTATAACTTAAATTTTCAATTTCCCTACAGTTTGATTGAAATTTCTTTTAATCTTTTAGCCAACTAATGCTTTAATTAAGTGATAAAGCTATTGGGTTGGTGAATTGAAAACTGCCGGACTTTGAACTAAAATTTATTCAACATAAAACCATCAATTCATTCGAAATAGTTTCCATTATTATTGACGACTTGTGCCCATTTTACAGGCAATTTGCGGATTCCTCTTTCGTAGTAGGATTTTGGTTTGTGTGTGAGACAAGTGTGAGACTCAAAAATCGAGGACTGGAGATGTCCGATAGAGAGTTTGAGCACTTTCTTCAAAAGAAACCCATTTTGGTGTCAATAGAAAAGTTGTAGAGAATCAAAAGTTAGGCTTATAGCCAAATTTCCAAAAAGATACACTTAGTAGTTTCGTTTAAAATGCAAGTTTTGTGAAAATTTGGCATTTCTTTCTTAAATTTGGCATTTTTTCAAAACCAGTTTTTGAATCGTTCTGAAAATTTGGATATAAGCTTGATTTTTGATTCTCTACAACTTTTCCATTGACACAAAAATGGGTTTCTTTTGAAGAAAGTGCTCAAACTGTCACATATGACAATAGCCGCGGTTTTCAATTCACTAACCCAATATTAGCCCAATATTTGGCCTCTTCTCTATTCTATAACTTAAATTTCCAATTTCCCTACAGTTTGACTGAAATTTCTTTTAGTCCTTTAGCCAACTAATGCTTTAATTAAGTGATAAAGATACAATAAACAAGTACAAGTTTTGACTTTTCTAACCCTTTTCACTTATTGTTTGAAAGTGAACTTTGCTCTCCAAAATGAACCAAAAAAAATGAACCAAAAAACCAACCAAAAGCTCTTTTACAGCACTAAACATTTCTTGTCCTTTTCGGGCTTTTTTTTGACTGAAACCGAATCTCTACAACTTTTCTATTGAGTTGACAAGTGATGAAGGCCAATTTGTGTGATTTTGGAAAAGGAGTAACTGAGGAAAGGAAAAATTGAAAGAATTGCGGTGAAAAATTGAAAGAATTGAAAGAAAAAAAGCGTTTTCTCTAATATGTTAGTCGATCCGTCTCAATTCGTTCGTTTTTCACGAGAGGAAATCCACAAAAATTTGGAATCGCGAAAAAATCGGCGTGTTGATCTGGGCAAATGAATTATGAGCGTCACCTTTCGCGTCTTTTTTTTTCGGGAAAAACGTTTTCTCTCGATTTTTCTCGTAAGTTGTTCCCCCCTTCCGCTCTTCTTTTTGGCACGATTTTCCGGGGTTTCAAATTTTTTCCAACAGCAATAAATATCAACGATTGTGTTTTTTGAACTTTTGCGTTGTATTTGACACTTTCAGTTCTTTATTTAAGGTTTATTTTGTGCTTGAGTTAAAGCTCCTCTAGCTAAAGCTCCTCTAGTTAAAGCTCCTTTAGCTAAAGCTCCTCTAGCTAAAGCTCCTCTAGCTAAAGCTCCTCTAGCTAAAGCTCCTTCAGCTCCTCTATCTAAAGCTCCTTCAGCTCCTTTAGCTAAAGCTCCTTCAGCTCCTCTATCTAAAGCTCCTTCAGCTCCTTTAGCTAAAGCTCCTTCAGCTCCTTTAGCTAAAGCTCCTTCAGCTCCTCTATCTAAAGCTCCTTCAGCTCCTCTGCCCTCTACAAGCTCCTTTAGCTAAAGCCCTTCTAGCTCCTTCAGCTCCTTTAGCTAAAGCTCCTTCAGCTCCTTTAGCTTTAAAGCTCCTTTAGCTAAACGCCCCTTAGCTAAAGCTCCTTCCCTTTAAAAGCTCTTCAAAGCTCCTTTAGCTAAAGCTCCTTCAGCTCCTTTAGCTAAAGCTCCTTCAGCTCCTTTAGCTAAAGCTCCTCTAGCTAAAGCTCCTTCAGCTCGTTTAACTCAAGCACATTCCTAACGACTTTCTTTTCCTTTTTCACTAGTCATTTCCTTTTTCAGCAATCACTATTTCATCAAGATTAAGTCAATATCCTCGATTTTCAATCAAAACCCTCATTTTTCAGTCAATTTATTTTCATTCTTCACTTTTCAGTCAGTTCATTTTCATTCTTATCTACTTTTATAGTTGTATTGATAGCTATTGAACAGTTGTATTGATAGCTATTGAACAAATGGATAGGGTTTTGAGCTGAGAAAGTCTGTGAAAGAAACGGCGACGGGTGGTGGTGAATAAAGTTTCCAAGTTTTGGTTTGCTTTTCGTTCGAAATGGCATCGAATCATCCTTTTTTTGGAGAGCTCTGTCCCAGATCGTTTACCTTTTTGGGACTGAAAAGAGTGCGAGTTTTGTGTGAAGAAAGAGATGTGAATCCTCATCGACAAACATGGACCTCAAGAAAGGGAAGGAAGGGAAGGAAGGGAAAGAAGTGGTGAGGGGAGGAGGGGAGAGGATTGGTGAGGCAAGGCTGAGGCAGGGAGAGTCTCGGCTCGGCCCGTAGCCCGTAAACGCCGCCACCTCACCTGTGTGGTTGTCTCTTTCCCTTCAATGATTCACTCAGGGTCTTCAGTTTGTCTTAGACGATTTCATGCCTTTACCCCATCTCATCCATTCGACCATTCAACCATTTTAACGGCATTTCTTCTTTCCAAATTCAAATCTTTCCAATCAAAATCTTTCCAATTTTGATATTGCTGGAAAGTCTTTTCCGTCTTTTTGAACTTAAATAATAGAAGTTTCTGATAAAGCAAACGATAAATCGATTGGTTTATTATTTATTTTAAAAAGTAAACTTTAAAAAAAGCGGACAAAACTTTCTGTTCAGCCTGATAGTCTCATTCTGCTATAGGATACCGCTAATACCTCCACAAAATGCCAATACGCTGACAAAATACCGCTAATACCTCCACAAAATGCCAATACGCTTATTTCCCAAAAATTAGCATTCGCATTTGCATTAAACTGCATTAAACTTAGATCTAGATCAATTGAATCAATTTGTAGTTTATGACAGTAAAGTGCCGGATTTATTCATGAACTAAACAGCTTTTAAATATGCTTTTTTGTGCATCACCCCAAATTTCTTTCCTTTAAATTTTCTCATTTCCTTCCTTTTTTACGATTTCCCTTCTTTTGCCTAAAACATTCTTATAAAGGAGCTGGATTATTTGAAAGTCTGCTTCTGCCATCGTTTGCCAATCAATTTTCTGATTATACTTACTATTAGAAACAAATTAAACATTGCACGTGATCGTTAATTGCTTTCATAACCTCCTCATTGTGTACAGAACAATTCTTGTAATTGTACGCAGACTGGAGTTTACAACTTTCATAGCTTCCCTCCATTTTTCTACCTTTTCTTTGATGCTTTGATGCAAAAATGACAAAACAGTCTCTAAAAGTTAAACTCAATCAACAGTTTTTCAAAAAGCAAAACTTTGACTATCACTTTTTGATGCAATTTCTGTTTTTATTTGTTAACTGAATCCAATGTGATTCTATTGGGTTGGTGCATTGAAAACTGTGGGATTTTGAACTAAAATTTATTCAACATAAAACCATCAATTCATTCGAAATAATTTCCATTATTATTGACGACTTGTGCCCATTTTACAGGCAATTTGCGGATTCCTCTTTCGTAGTAGGATTTTGGTTTGTGTATGAGACAAGTGTGAGACTCAAAAATCGAGGACTGGAGATGGAGACTGGAGATCCCAGTTTGAGCACTTTCTTCAAAAAGAAACCCATTTTGGTGTCAATAGAAAAGTTGTAGAGAATCAAAAGTTAGGCTTATAGCCAAATTTCCAAAAAGATACACTTAGTAGTTTCGCTTAAAAATGCAAGTTTTGTGAAAATTCGTTGGCATTTCTTGAAATTGGCATTTTTTCAAAACCAGTTTTTGAATCGTTCTGAAAATTAGGATATAAGCTTGATTTTTGATTCTCTACAACTTTTCCATTGACACCAAAATGGGTTTCTTTTGAAGAAAGTGCTCAAACTGTCACATATGACAATCGCCAGCAGTTTTCAATTCACCAACCCAATATATCAATGATTCAAGCTTCAAGCTTCAAGATTCAGACAATTCCTTTATCTCTAAAGATCCACAATGAATTTCTTTGTTATTTGTGTCTTGTGGCTCTTTTTTGGAGCACATAATTATATTGAAAAGAAAAAGAAAAAGAGAAGACGATAAATTGACGGACCGTGATAAATTGGTGCGCCGCGAGAAAAGGACTGTTTTGAGAGGGGAAATGGATAAAGAAGTAAAAGAGAGATATACAGAAATAAAGGGCAAATGGTAGGAAATAAAGGAAAAAGGAAACTCTTGTAATCAGACAAGTTTTGAACTTTTTTGAGTTTAAATTAAGAGTTTAAATTCCTTTGAGGTGGGGCACTTCAAATCCAATAAAACTTTCAGATTCAGATTCTGCTCTGAAACTTACTTTACTTTGGGCTTTACTTTCCAGGCTTGTTTAAATCAGAAATCTTTATTATAAAGTCAAAAAGTTGAAGAAATAGAATGGAATACAGGATAAGAATGGATAAGAATTTTAGAAAAATGGGTAAGGATCAGAGAGGAGGAGATTGGGGTGGAAGAGATCTCAATCTCGTCACCTCTCTTGTCTCGAGTCAAGGCGCCCCCCTCCCGTTCCCCTTTCACCCCATAATAATCACTGTACGATTTTTGTGTTTTCTCTTTATTGCATGTGTCACTTTATTGGCTAAATTGGGCTGGTATTGGCTGATTGAGTTTGAGATTTTCTGAATGAGATTGAGATTTTCTGAATCCAGGAGACCTACTACACTTCTGACTCTTGTCAATCTCATTTCTGGCTTGTAAACTAGCTCAATCTCTAGCTTGTCTCATTTCTAGCTCGTCTGACGATTAATAGCTTCTCTTTATTTAACATTTTGGGATTTTGCTTGTATTGTGAAATTGTATTGTAAGATGTAAGGATTGTAAAATTGGACTTTAAGATTAGGACTGAATCTAGCTAATCAAATGAACCAATTAGAATCAAACAATTTAAATCAAACAATTTAAATCAAACAATTTTAATTAAACAATTAGAATTAAACAATTAGAATTAAACAATTAGAATTAAACAATTTAAATTAAACAATTAGAATTAAACAATCCCATTATTAGCAACAAATTTTCCATAGACAGATTCCACAGATTGCTGAGCTTATTGCTGAGCTGAGCCACAGCTTATTGCTGAGCTGAGCCACGGCCTATTACTGAGCTGAGCCACAGCTTATTGCTGAGCTGAGCCACAGCTTATTGCTGAGCTGAGCCACAGCTAATTGCTGAGCCTGCTGATGCTGAGCACATGCTGAGCTTATTGCAAAAAAGTGCACTCACAATCAGATCTAAATCCCAAGTGCATTTCTTCTATCATTGCATAAGTATTAAAAGTTTACGGTATTAACAGTAAACAGGCACGGTATTAACACTAAAAACAGTAAACTTCAATAGTTAATGCAGCTTTTTTTCATGGAATTCATTAAATGCTGAGAATTTCTGCTTTCCCCCTTTTTTAGCATCCTTTTACTGTAATCTTTCTCGAAAAAAGTTAGATTTTAGATCAGTTTTTGAATTTTCCAGAGTTGGACACTTGAATCCATAAGAAATTTTTCTGAAATAAATCGAATCGAATCCCCAAATTTCAGGTCTCTCCTTTGAAGCCAATCCGTATTTCCCGGCTCCTCCCGGTCCTTTCTACACAAACGATCCTCATTTCCAAGAACAAGAAGCAATTGGAGGTAAAAGATTAAAAAATTCTTACATGATCTAGAAATGCTTTAGTTCTTCAACCACATTTTCCATTTGAGCCCACAGAACTGGGAGTTGGTTGCTCGTCGGATTTGTCCCTTTCACATCAAATTCCCTCTTCAAATTTGCCTGATATTTGCAATCTAATGAACAAGGAGGAGAAAAGTGAGGGACTTTTGAAGGCACCGGAAACAATGCATTATTATGGTGAGTGGAGTTTCGAGTTCAACAACTAATCAACTCAAAAAACAAACATTAGGTAATTCTTGGTTTTACTATTAGCTTTTTATGCGAATTGATTCTTTTTGACATTATCGGACATTTGATACGCGTTCGCCCCTTTTGCCGTTAGCAATCTAACTTTGAGCTCAAATATCTCGGCTTTCGGTTGTCCAATTTAAATATTCTTGATTTCATTCGATGCGCCAAATCTTTCTCTGTCGATTGGTACAAAAAGTATTTAAATTGGACAGCTCAACACCAAGCAATTTGAGATCAAAGTTGGATTGCCAATGGCAAAGGGGACGGGGCGCGTATAAAAGGTCTTTCTGGTCCCGCCCCTTTTGGCAATCTAGCTTTGAGCTCAAATATCTCGGCTTTCAGCTGTCCAATTTAAGTATTCTTGGTATCACTAGATGCGTCAAGTCTTTCTCTGTCGATTGGTACAAAAACTATTTAAATTGGACAGCCCAACACCAAGATATTTGAGCGCAAAGTTGGATTGCCAATGGCAAATGAGCTAGATGGCAAAGGGCTATCAAATGCCCAAACTTTATTGGATTGGCAAAAGGGGCGAGGCCAGAAAGACCTTTTATACGCGCCCCACCCCTTTTGCTATTGGCAATTCAACTTTGAGCTTAAATTTCTTGGTGTTGAGCTGTCCAATTTAAATACTTTTTGTACCAATCGACAGAGAAAAGCTTGGCGCATCTAATGAAATCAAGAATATTTAAATTGGACGACCGAAAGCCGAGATATTTGAGCTCAAAGTTAGATTGGCAAAAGGGGAAAATAACTTTCCCCTAACCCATAGACCTTTACCCCGCTTTTTTAGCCCAAAAAATCCCTTCGCAACCTTGGTTTGCTTTCGAAAAGATAGCAATCTTTTGTCTCGAAATCTCGAAATTCAAAAAAAACAAAAACCTATCAATATTTTGCACAGAAAAAAAAGTCAAAGATTTCAGTAATTTTCTTTTCACAAGCGCAATCCACTGATCAATCATTTTTCACGAGCAAAACGCGCAAAAAAAGTGATGGCTACGGTCTCTAAAAGTTTCCTTTCCTTTTTCCTTTTTCTTTTTCTCATAAAAATTTTCCAATATTTTGGCATTTCGCTTTCTATCTCTTTATTGAAGAGATTTTCGGCAGTTGAGAAAATTTTTGAGCACCGACCCCAATTTGTCTCTTTATTTTTGCGAATCGATACTTTCGGATGGCGTTTATTTTGTATTTTCCACAGAAACCTTTACAAAAAGTGACGCTAAGTAATGGTGAGTGAAAATTGAAATTGAGAAAATGCTTTTCATGAGAACTTTGTAGATCAATACACAGATTTGCAAAATTACTAGTACTCTGGGCCAGTACTTCTGGGCTAGTACTTTGGGCTAGTACTCTGGGCTAGCACTCTGGGCTAGTACTTCTGGGCTAGGACTCTGGACTAGTACTTCTGGGCTAGTACTTTGGGCTAGACTCTGGGCTAGTACTTCTGGGCTAGTACACTGGGCTAGTACTTCTGGGCTAGTACTTTGGGCTAGTACTTCTGGGCTAGTACTTCTGGGCTAGTACTTTGGGCTAGTACTCTGGGCTAGTACTTCTTAGGCTAGTACTCTGGGCTAGTACTTCTAGGCTAGTACTCTGGGCTTTTACTTTTACTCTGCCATTGTCTACTAGACCTGGGAATTTTCGGTGTGAACGTCGATAGGCGTGCAAGAGAAATTACTAGTACTCTGTGCTAGTATACTAATACTCGGGGCTAGTAATGGCATATCTCGGCCAATTTCACTTCGATCTTTTTGATTTTGATATCAATTGAAGCAGAATTTCATTTTCTATCGATTGAAATCGAAAGCAAGAAGGTTCGAGGGAGATTGACCAAGATTTGGCCTTTTTCCTTTAGACCCTTTTGACGATCACACCGAAAATTCCCAGTTTTGTTGCTTACTGTAAAATAGGGCGCGCTTCTTTCGGCTAATGCGTTTTCTAAAAGACAAATCTCTAGAAAACTACCGTAGTGAAGTTATCTTCGATCTGGGTTATCGGACATTTGATACGCGTTCGCCCCTTTTGCCATTAGCAATCTAACTTTGAGCTCAAATATCTCGGCTTTCGGTTGTCCAATTTAAATATTCTTGATATCATTCGATGCGCCAAGTTTTTCTCTGTCGATTGGTATAAAAACTATTTAAATTAGACACCCCAACACCAAGAAATTTGGTGTCAAAGTTAAATTGCCAATGGTGAAGGAGCTAGATGGCAAAGGGCTATCAAATGCCGAAATTTTATAGCAATGATAAGCTAAAGTTTTCTTTTAGTGGACCCACTGACGGTGGCCTCCGGTGCCGAGTTGACGGCCGTGGAAAAGATGGAAACATTGGAAACATCGCAGAATTCGGCGTTTAGCTCAACGAATCACATCGATTATTCCTCATTTCTGCCTTTCCCTTCACCAGCCACGAACAGTGGAGACAGGTTTGAATAGTTTTCGTTCTCAACTTAAACGTGACTTTAGCTTTTCTTACGTTTGCGATTACTCGAGTCAGCTGCCGACTCAGTATGCGTATGATTATCCGGTGAGTTTTCAAAAGGATAAGAATTGATTAGAATAGATAAGACTTAGCTAAGGCTGAAGCTATTTGGCTATCAAAATGAATACTAATTTGGTTTAAGAATTGACTTTTTCATTTGCAAACTTTCTATTGTTTCTTTCTATTGAGCCCCCAAAGGTTCAAACTTAGTCCAGCAGATACTCTCAGTTTTTTTTGGCAACAAGCTTGGTGCTTTGTGCTTTGTATTGTACTTTGTGCTTTGTATTGTACTTTGTGCTTTGTATTGTACCTTGTGCTTGGTGCTTTGTGCTTCCAAACACATGCTTTCTGGCATACTCGTTGAGCTAATAGTAAGATTCAATGTGCCAGGAGTTGTGTTTGTCTGGGCACAAAGCACAGATCATTTCAAGTGCTTTGACTTCAACTTGGGAACGGCCATTTCTGGCCCACTTTCAATTAGTTGTGTTTTGGGAAATGGAAACAAAAGCTAAAGCACTAAAATCTAACATTTAAGTGCATTTTAACAATCGTTTTTGTTTTTTTATATAAGCTAGAAATTCTTTAAACACCTCTCAAAAAGGTTCAAGCGATAATCAATGCATCAAAAACGAATGCATCTCCTCAATTTCATGTTGACCGTAGCTGTGAATCATCTCTTGATCTTTCTCTTCTCAACTATTTGCACGTCGTATTCTTGACGCTTTTTTTATCTTTTTTTTCCTCTATGTGGCTGTCCCTTTCACTTTTTTTTGGGATTTGCAACAGAATACACAAAAATAGATCGGGGTCGTCTCGGGGTTCAAAGTTTTTAGAGGCAAAGCTTTGAGGCAAAGCATTGAGGCAAAGCTTTGAGGCAAAGCTTTGAGGCAAAGCTTTGAGGCAAAGCTTTGAGGCAAAGCTTCGAGGCAAAGCTTTGAGGCAAAGCTTCGAGGCAAAGCTTAAAGATTTAGTTTAGTCAAATAGCTTAGCCTTCAAATACAAAGATGTGTTTAAACCAGTATTGAGAAGTCAAGCTTTATCGATTAATCTTAGTATTAACCAAATTTCAGCTCTATTCGGCTCCAATCATCTACACGAGTGACATCTACACATCATCTCCGCCAACCCAGACATCCACAATTCCCGCAATCATCTCGCCGACAATAAAAATCGAACATTCACCACCGCCACAGGATCCTCTAGCGAAACCGCCACAAAAGAAGAGAATTCAGGTTGGATTTTGCTCAAAACTAAGACAATAAAGTATAGACAATACAGAGAATACAATGAAATATGATATTTGAAAAACGATCGTCACTTTCGTGCTTCTGTAACTCCCCTGTCTTTGAGTTTAAACAATTAGTGTTAGACATTTTCTGAAAGCTCTTTTCAAGGGCTACACAATGGTAATATTAATATTTAGAAATACGGTATTTTTTTGACGCATTTCAGCCTACACAAGATGGGATACTGCTATGATACTCAAAATTTTTGATTTTCAAAGCTATTTTTCTTTATGATAGAGTGCTGGAATCGCTTTGAAACTACGATTTTCGAAATCTACGCAAAAATTTACCTTAGAATAATCAATTGTATCAAAGTTTCATAGCGGAAATTAAAAGCACATTTGCGAAATTCCCAATTGTAGTTGATCAATGTCTTCTAAATCCTTGATCAAGTTGAAAACAATGTCTTTCCAGGCAGTGAGCTGTCACTCGAACTCGGTGTGCGCCAATTGTGGGACAAGGGACACGACGTTGTGGCGAAGGAATCATATTGGAGATATTGAGTGCAAGTGAGTGCAAAACACTTTTTCCATTTATTTTAACTCTAATCAGTACTTTTGAAAATTTAAATCAGTACTTAAAGCCTAAAAACTCATCAGCAAATCGATTTCCAGTGCCTGCAATCTCTACTATCGGAAGAACCAAAAGCGTCGACCGTTGAGCCTCAAAAAGGACACAATTATGAAGAGAAATCGAAAACCTCGATGCGATTCACCGCTCGGAATAACTTTTCGATAACTTTTCATTTCATTTTAACGTCTAATTTCGAGTTTTAACTTCATTTTCTGCTTGAGACTTACAAATTTATTGATATGTAAACGCATGGAGGCTAGTGCACTGAAACTTTCATCAGTTTTTAGCTTATTTAGAAATAATCACGTTTAGAAATCAGTGTAAATGTGTTAAATTATCTATTTTCTGTGCGCTAGGTTTTTTTTGTGTTTATGTAATTTACAAAAGTTTAGTTGGAATCAAGTGAATCGCTTTTTGAAATGATTTATGCTAAACGCCGACTCTTTGGCACACTGAAATCAGCACCTTTCTCAGTTAATCATTTGTTAAAAAGAGAAATCTAGTGTGCGAAGAGATTTGCGTTTACTAGAGCTCGAAGAACACTTGGATCCAGCTATGGTAGTGGAATTCCAGTTCTTTTGCCCTACAGTTCTTTTGCCAGTTCAGCCTAAGCCTAAGCCTAAGCTTAAGCCTAAGCCTAAGCTTAAGCCTAAGCCAAGCCTAAACCTAAGCCTAAGCTTAAGCCTAAGCTTAAGCCTAGGCCTAAGCTTAAGCCTAAGCCTAAGCTTAAGCCTAAGCCTAAGCCTAAGCCTAAGCCTAAGCTTAAGCTTGAGCCTGGATAAAATTCTCAGTTGTCTAGGCTGAATATCTTTCCCGGGAAACTGTAACGAGAGAAAAAGACTGATTTCACACCGCAAACCACACTAAATCTACCGTATTCTCAAAGCTCAAAACCCTAAAACGTAGCCTTTCTTTTGACTCCACTTCCCCGATCCCTCCATTGTCATAATATAGCTATGCATTTTTTTTTCCAATTTACGCGCAAAACAAGGCTTTCTAAAAGTGCTTGCCAAAATCCCAGCATCAACACAAAACTTTTCTCTCAAAACTCCACAAAAATCTCAATTTGATTCACGAAAATTGTTTCCTTTTCCGCTCCCAAAAAAAACACCGATCTGATTCACCGCTAGAAACATTCCATGACGTCATTTCCATTTTCCCATTTTTGTTTCAAATTTCAATTTCATTTCATTTCAATTTCATTTGTGCCTTAATTCTTTGCCAAATCATTTCCCGCTTCAGTGCCTTCATCATCATGCATTTTTGTTGTTTTTCCTTCTTCTTTTGCTCTCTTTTTATTTGTTCTCCAACATCTCCACGATTCGTTCAAAAGTTGACCACTTTCTTTGTGATTCATGTTTTTCATGAGTAAAGTTGTAGCTTATGAGGAAACCGCAATACAGAGGATAAAACGGAAAATCGAATGCTAAGCATTATCCAGCAGCTCTAATTTAAAGTTGAAGCATGTCTAAGGGATATCGACGAATACACTTCTCAGAACGTCCAATGCGACAAGCAATTTCCCTGTTTGTTTGTTTTCATCTTTTCTTTTTCTTTCAAAAAGACGTGTCGGTATCGAAGAGACAAGGTCATGGAGCGCTGTTGGCTGAAGCCGATTCCAGGCTACTTGAATGGCTTTCTTGAGCGTCCGAACGTCCGATGCGACAAGCAATTTCCCTGTTTGAGTGACCAAGCGTGTGGAGCACATCGATACGCGTTTTTTCCACCACATCCAGTTATTTTTCAAGTGGCATATCTGAAAATGAAAAACACACTTATAAATATAAGTAATAAGCAAAAAAATGAGAAAAACTAACAATTATCGATTTTGAAGATCTCCTTGCGAACCTCTTCGAGTGAAGTCGTCATGTTGGAAAGACGTCTCGTAATTGCGCATTCGTCTTGATCGGTCAACTTTTTCTTCCGGCTCCGTGTTTCTTTCTTCTTAGGAGTCACTTTGGTCTTGAGATACGTGCGAATACTTTCTCAGAACGTCGGATGCGACGAGCAATTTCCCTGTTTGAGTGACCAAGCGTGTAGAGCACATCGATACGCGTTTTTTCCACCACATCCAGTTGAAGACCATGCCCGGCTTTCGTAAATCCTTCCAATATCCTCGAAAACCATCAGCACCATCAAGGGTGAACTTCTTTTCGTCACTCCAAATAATCTAAACATAAAATATATAAGAAATACTAGTAAACCAACTCCCTCCGATTTGGTCTTCTGGTTCTTTTGAGCGAAATTGATATGGGCGGCTTTATGGTCCTTTGTGAGTCGTGGAGCTTGCTTCATGAGTTTGTATTTGAGTATTGTAGATCGTTTGACAACGTTGTGCACAGTTTGGCGAGTGACCGGAAGCTTCATCTCCTTGCGAACCTCTTCGAGTGAAGTCGTCGTGTTGGAAAGACGTCTCGTAATTGCGCGTTCGTCTTGATCGGTCAACTTTTTCTTCCGGCTCCGTGTTTCTTTCTTCTTAGGAGTCACTTTGGTCTTGAGATACGTGGGAATACTTTCTCAGAACGTCCGATGCGACGAGCAATTTCCCTGTTTGAGTGACCAAGCGTGTGGAGCACATCGGTACGCGTTTTTTCCACCACATCCAGTTATTTTCCAAGTGGCATATCTGAAAATGAAAAAAACATTTATAAACATAACTAATAAGCAAAAAAATGAGAAAAACTAACAATTATCGATAAAATAAATCGTCAAATTTAAGTTGCGTCTATAATTTTTTGACAGATTGTACTTTGGTAGGCAGTTTAAGTCTTGTTTTATCTATTGGCTTATTGATATTATAACTAGGGTTTTCTAGAGTATAAATGAAAGTGAAACGGTGAAAGAAGAAGCAGAAGATAAAAGAGAAAAGCCTGAAAATGAAATCATTTAATGTTTTCAATGAACTTTTTCTCCAATACAGGGTGGCTGAAAAATTCTGTCCGCATTAGTAGATGTGTCTCTATAATAAAAGTTGTATAAGCCTAAAGCTACACAAAGTTACACAATTTTTTACTCTACGCTAAGCAGATAAACAATCAGATAAAATCAGATAAATCAGATAAACTATAAAGGAACTTTAAAGGAACCAAATAGGAACTATAAAGGAACTATAAAGGAACTTTAAAGGAACTATAAAGGAACTTTGAAGGAACTTTAAAGGAACTAAATAGGAACTATAAAGGAACCATAAAGGAACTATAAAGGGGACTTTAAAGGAAAAAGTATGGTTTCAAAAGCTAATTTCGAAGCTTTCGAATTAATCTCTTGAAACAATATCGTTTTTCAGTTTGATCGCGTGTCAATCTTCTACAATTCGTTTTCTAGACCAGTTTTAGTTTCCTTAAAAGCAAATTCTAATATCCGATCTTCAGATCTTCAGATCTTCTTTCAAGAAGAATGATTTTTTCTTTAAAACTATACTTTACATAGTCAGATTGCTTATGAAATTATCGATTTTAAGAGCCTAAAACATTGTTAATCGAGTTTAAAATCTTAAAATCTTAAAATCGCGGAGACTCAACTGGAAAAAACATTAAAAATGCACTTAAAAAAACAAATTCCTCCTTAAAACAAACATATCTAAAAGGTAAAAAAAGTCGAATTTTCTAAATTTAAGTTCCATTTGCTCTATCTCGACGGAGTTTTATCATAAAGACACGTCTATTAATGCGGACAGAACTTTTCCGCCACCCTGTAGCGTCTTATAAATGTATTTTCACTCCTCATTTGTAACTATGAGTCTTTTTATGATTTCGCGTATGCGAATTTCTTCTCATGTTAACGGATGATCGACGCAGCCAAACTTTTCACACAATTTGCCAATTATTGCCAATTATTGCCGAAGCATAGACCATATCTAAAAAAAAAATATTCTTTCTGAACGAAAAACGAACGAAAGAGAAACAAAAAAAACACCAAAACTACATAAAATTCCTTGGATTAAAAAGCATTTTAGTAGATTTTAGAATAAAAGAAAAGTTTGGTCGCTGGGAAGACCCGGACCAGGGTAAAAAGATCGGCCGCGGGGAAGACCCAGACCAGGGTAAAAAGACCGGCCGCTGGGAAGACCCAGATCAGGGTAAAAGTTTGGTCGCTGGGAAGACCCGGACCAGGGTAAAAGTTTGGTCGCTGGGAAGACCCGGACCAGGGTAAAAGTTTGGTCGCTGGGAAGACCCGGACCAGGGTAAAAAGATCAGTCGCTGGGCGGACCCGGACCAGGGTAAAAAGATCGGCCGCTGGGAAGACCCAGACCAGGGTAAAAAGATCGGTCGCTGGGCGGACCCGGACCAGAGTAAAAGTTCGGTCGCTGGGCAGACCCAGATCAGGGTAAAAGTTCTGGGTGAAAAGTTCTGCAAGCACAGCATACTAGCCACTACACAACCAGGCCATCTGGTAAGGGAGTGTGTGCATGTGTATGCCAGATATGCCAAAAACGTTTTTGTCAAATAACTCGCATTTGCGAAGCGTTCTGCAAAACTTAAAGACAGCCTCGGATTCCCCATAAAATTCTCTACAAGATGGTCTAGGTCACGTCCCGAAAGGGCACTTTGAGTCAACACCCTTTCCTAGTTGGAATGCACAAGTCATCCATAAATTTCTCTCTGCTTTCGTCGATAAGCTATTAGATCTTACTAATACTATTTTTTTAATCTTATAATTTTTATTAAAATCATCCAATTCCAATTTAATAAACTCATCCATTTTACATAGAAGTTATGGGGAAATCCTAGATTTACAGCTTTTTATCTTAACCCCTAGTCAAATAGTTAGCATTACAGAATGCCTAAATGCTTTGCCTAAATGATTTTCAGTAGATCAAGTGACAAATCCCAATATTATCGTCTTTCAGCTTGAAAACTGTCTCAACTTCTTCAACTTTATTCAACAAATTGCTAAATATGCTAAATATACTAAACAATGTTCAAAATCTGCAAACGACAGTCACAAGTCGAAAGCTGTACATCTTGAGCCCATCTTGAGGCCTTTAAACGATCTTCCTCCTTGAAATGAAATGTTCCTTAAAGTAGAACTCAAGACAAAATTGTTTTTGATCACTCTTAGAGATCTCACATGTTCCCTCCCGCTTACGCTACTGATTCTCTATTTTACAAAAGAGTGAATGTGTCCCGTGTTTGTACTTTTCCTCTTTCCTTTCTTTCTTT